GTTCCTTTTAAGGGTCCCTCGAAGAGTTCCTTTTAAGGGTTCCTCCAAGCGTTCCCTTTAAGGGTTCCTTTTCAGGATTCCTCTAAGGGTTCCCTTTAAGGGTTCGTCTAAGCGATCTTTTAAGGAAGCCCTTTGGAAGCCTGGGGCTGAGGACGGGAGAGGGTGTCGAGTGCTGGATCGACGGCCACTGGGCAGCAACGGGAGCTTCGCTGTTTGGTGTAGTTGGGGTTTAGGGTTTTTTTTGGTCTAGGGTTTTAGGGTTTTGAGGGCTCTAGGGCTTTAAAGTTTAGGATGTAGGGCTTGGGCGTGTTGAGTTTTTGGTTGAGGAGTTTGTTCGTGACACGTGTGTCAATTCTGGGAGTTTTGGTGAGTTGTCCAGCTGTGGTTGTTTCTTTGGAGAGTTGCACGCCGCCCGCGGTAAAGTTTACATTATAGTTCCATCACAAAAGCGTTCTTTCATGTGCGCACGTATATGTCCAACACGTTATCCCCCAGGATGTTTTGATAGGATTGATACAGGGGTTACCCCTAAGCCCTAAACCCTAAGCCCTAAACCCTAAGTCTAGTGGTTCAGGGTCTCGGGAGGTTCGGGATCTCGGATGGTTTCGGATTAGAGGTTCGAGGTCGCATGTCGGTTCTTCCGGGGTAGATTTTTGTAGAAAGCACTTGGGAATTCGGGTTTCGGGTTTATAGAATCGACACCCTAAACCCTAAACCCTAAACATCCCTAGCTCACAGCATTGACCTCGAGGTTTTCGAGGCTGAGTCATTTCAAGGCGGTTTAGGGTTTATAGAAGTTGTGTCGGGGTTTCGAATGGGTTTCGGGTTGTGAGCGGGTTTTGGGTGAGTTTTATTTTGATGCTTCACCCGGCCCTGCCCTGCCCGCCCTGCCCGGCCCTGCCCTGCCCCGCCCTGCCCTGCCCTCCCCCTGTCCTGCCCGGTCCTGTCCACGCAGCCTGTCGCAGGAAATAGAAGCCATACTGCTTGACGCACGACGATGCGACAAGATAAGGACCACCTCTTCTTAGCAGTTTGCGAACCCCGTCCTCGTGCAAGCGCTTGCTCTTCTATGAAACCAAGTGCTGGCTCTACCAACCAAAAAAGCTCAACACGCAACTTCTATGTATCACGTGCTTGAGGGTTTGGGTTTATAGGGTGTAGGGGCTTGGATCGCTCATCGTGCTAAGCAACTGACACCAGAACTTGTCTTAACCCCCCAACCTTGAATCCTCAACCCGGTTCAGGGTTTAGGGTGTTGGGGGGCTTAGGGTTAAGGGTTTAGGGTATAGCCCTAAAGCTTGAACCCAAACCCTAGCAATGTCCAGCTTTGGCGAAGAGCTCCCCGAAGATTCTGCCATGTTCCTTGAGGACGAAATGAACCCTAAAACGGTTTAAGGTTCATAAACTATATAGGGATTCATAGTATAAGGGTATAGGGCCCCTATTTTGAAGGGTCATTTCGTCCTTAGGGTTCCGTGGTGCAAGGCTCCTCCTACAGCGGCCGCTACAAGGAGTGCCCTTGCGCGACTCACGGGTCTTAGTGTTGCTGGAGCTTCAGGGCTCCTAGGGTTTAGGGTTTAGGGTTTGGGGCTCCTGCGTAATGTAGGGCCCTAAACTGTTTAGGGTTTAGGGTTGAGGGTTTAGTGGGCTTAGGGCCTAAATAGTTACCCGTGCTCTTTTGGGGATTCCTTGTTCAAGTCATCGTATAATATTTGGGATTCCTTCTTATCATCATGGTATACTATATCCCCCAAACCCTATTTCTAAACAAAAGGCGCCTGCAATTAAATTTGTGGCTCCAGGAAGTCCCCTAAACCCTAAACCCTAAACCCTAAACCCTAAACCCTAAACCCTAAACCCTAAACCCTAAACCCTAAACCCCATTGAAGCCATGGTTTCCTCGGCTCTGGGGGGCTCCGGGTGTTTCTATTTGTTTCTAGGGTTTAGGGTTTAGGGTTTAGGGTTTAGGGTTTAGGGTTTAGGGTTTAGGGTTTAGGGTTTGGAGCAAGGATCCTGATTCGCACGACTCCCCGCAGGTCTAAGCCCTATAGCCCTGAAAAAACGACAGCAAGCCGGGCCTACCCATAGGCCCCACAGCAGTTCCTTTTTGGGATTCCCTCATAGGATCCTAAATATAAGCCGCAAAAAGGATCTACTATGCCCTAAACCCTAAACCCTAAACCCTAAACCCTGGCTCTATGGGTAGAGGTGTGTGTCTTGCGCGTGGCTGGCCGGTCGCCCGGTCTGCGTCAACTCGGTGCGCCAGGCTTTGCCTTGCTGAAGCAAGTTCAGCTTGTTATTGTGTAGGGTTTAGGGTTTATGGTTGAGGGTTTAGGGTTTAGGGTTTAGGGTGTAGGGTTTAGGGTTGAGGCTTTATGGGTCCCAAATGAAGCCGCTGTGATGGGCTTGCCGCACAAGCGCCTAGTAGCTAGCACGCATCTGGCTCGGGTTCACAAGGCAAACTATCGAGTCTGTTGCAACAAGGTCATGCAGCTGCGCTGCATCAAGCAACATGGCCGATCGGAAATCCACAAGCTGGCCTAAACCCTAAACCCTAAACCCTAAACCCTAAACCCTAAACCCTAAACCCTAAATCCTAAACCCTGACCCTTTGCCGCAAGTCGTCGCCTTGGAGATGGCAAGGTCGGACGTGGAGCTCTTTTCCGGCTGTGTAAGCGTTCTTGAATCGACGATCTGAGGCTGGGCTAATTGACTTTATATACGGGCTTTGAATTGGATTATGTAGGCGCTCGTCTGTCTGCCACCATCATTCAGACCCCTACAGACCAGGCTTCATGGAGTCCCACACGAACACTATGTTACGGCACCCTGCCTTAGCATTAGCGAAGCCTGAGCATTAGCGCCAGCTTCGTTGTCGTTGAAGCTGAAGACTTAGATGTAGAGTAGGTAACCTTTCGCTTTAACCTTTAACCTTCTTGGGGTACTTTAAGCCCTACATCAACCCTAGGTTACTTGACAAGCAAGAAGAAGTAAAAAACAAAACTGCTCGCCCTTAGGTGCTTGATGAAGTCCCGAACCCTAAAGCCTAAGTCCTAAACCCTAAACCCTAAACCCTAAGCTGACGAAGTCCCGAACCCTGGAAACGGGAAGTTCTGAAACCCTGAAGCCCGCAGCAGACAGGACGGCCTCAAGCACGGGCGGGGCACCTTCGTGTGGGTCGATGGGTCTGCAGCGCGCCCAGCACCCACGGAGCATGGTGCACGAAGGGGCTTCATGGGTATTTTCAGTGCTTGTCATGCCCCAAAACCTAAACCCTAAACCCTAAACCCTAAACCCTAAGCCGCCGCCCTTAGCCCTAAACCTAAAGCAAGAAGCCCTGAGCTTCAAATCGTCCTTAACCCTAACTTTAAGTTACCCCTATAAACGCCGAAGCCCCAAACCCCAGCATTAAGCTGGGGTTTAGGGTTTAGGGTTCAGGGTTTAGGGTTTAGGGTTTAGGGTTTAGGGTTTAGGGTTTAGGGTCCCAACACCCTTAAACTCCTACAGCTCTACACCCCTGCGCCCTGACGCCTTTTCCACGTACTGTCTCGCTGAGAAATACATCGGCGAGTTCGCTGCCAACGACATCGAGGGTGAGGCCTTGAGACAGAGATGAAACTTTTTGGGGCTTTTCATTTCTTTAATAGATTTAGGGTTCAGGGTTTAGGGATTAGGGTCTTCAGGGTTTCTGCCTGGGTTTGGGGTTTAGGGGTTTGGGGGCTTGGGGTCTGCTGCTTATTCTTCCGAATACCCTACAGCCAAAAGCCTTAGCCTGTAATCCTAAGCCAAACCTCCAGATCGGAAACCTCTTTCCTCGAAGACCTCCAAGCAGAACTCAGCCGCAGACAATCAGCATCTGACCCAGCCTTACGCCTCAAAACAAACCCAGAACCAGCCCCTAAACCCTAAACCCTAAACCCTAAACCCTAAACGATCGTTCGGCTTGGGGACCTTTGAATCTCAACCTAGGAATGCCTTCCTCCACCCGGACCCCACAGCCCAGCCTAATCTAGCGGCCTAAGTAGTTACCTATACTGTTTTGGGGGGTTCCTTATTTGTTGTAGTTATCGTATAATATACCCCAAAACCCTATTAAAATTATTCAGGCCCGTACATTAAATAAATCGTAAAATCCTGCAACGCATACCCGCAACCAAGCCCTGGGAATTAAATCCTTGGCTTTACAAACCTAGTGCCTAAAGCCGGCCTCAGCCTTCTCATTTTGAGCAGGATACCCCAGCACCCCCCAAGGGCCCTTTAATAGAGCCCTTATGGTCCTTAATTGTGGGTATTTAGGCTATATTAGAGGGTAGTTGGGGGGTCTAGGCCCTTCAACATTTACTTGTCATGGTATCCCCTTGTCGTCCTACCCCACAATCCCTAAACCCTAAACCGAGTACCTCCAATCTCCATGGCCCCGCCAGTAAGTCCTCAACCCTTAGAGCAGGATACTACGGGTTTAGGGTTTAGGGTTTAAACCCTAAACCCTAAACCTTGCAGGGCACCTACATATGGTCAGATGGCAGAAGGCTCCTGAAGCGTTGCCGGGTTCAGGGTTCTGGGTTTTGGGCTTGTATGGCTTACGGGGTTCAGGGTTTGTAAGGGTTTAGGATTTGAGGTTTCGGGTTTGGGGTTTAGGGGTTTTGGGGTTTGCGGTGTATGCTTTCAAGCCTTATGGCCTCTGGGAGTACCTGCATTTGGGGGCTCACTCAGTTTGGGACAAGTCTGACATTCCCCATATAGCCTCCAACGTGCAGCTCGGATACTTGGAGGTTGATGGGTCGTGTTCAGCAGGGCGTGTAAGTAGGGTAGCCGCAGTTGCAACCCACATGCAACGCGTTATAACCCCACTTATACCTGCCCATGAACCTCCAAGTAAGCCCTTTGCTTGTGAGGTTTAGGGTTCGGCTTTTGGAGTTCGCAGTTTATCGAGTTTGGGTTTGGGGCAGTTGTTGGGTGTCGTGGGTGGTGAAGTCCCACCCCCCCCGTCTAAGTGTCCCTACAGCTCTCAAAAAAGCCTCAACAGAAGAGCCTTTTTCAAAACCCACTAAAGTCTCGACCCCAAGCCCTAAACCCTAAACTAGAACCCTCTAAAGTCTGCCAAGTCCCCTAAACTCTTGGGCTGGTTGGGGTTCCCTATCCTGAGGCCGAGGGCTCAGGGCTGGGGATTTTACCAGGCTCTATAAAGGCTTGCTTTCTTTAAGGGGTATCTAGGCAGAAGTAGGGGTTTAGGGTTTAGGGCTTAGGGTATAGGGTTTGAATTCCCAGGTTTGGTTTGGGATTTTGATGTTTGGTTTGTGAGGGTTTGAGGGTTCAGGGCTTCGGAATTCGAGCTGTTGGGTTGAGGGCTAGGCCTCGGGATGCCAGGCATCCGGATTGATGGAGTGAACCCTGAGTGAAAGGAAACTGCAGGTGGGGAGTTTAGGGTGTATATATATATATATATGTATATATAGACCTTCTAGAAGGCTCCTATAAGGGTAACTACCCACCTGAAAATGTCCTAGACTGAATGTGGCCCTAAAGCCTAAACCAAGACTCCTAGGAACCTCTTCAACGAAGGGACAGTGACAGGAATGCTATTGCCGAACGGAGCTTTTCGAAGACCCTACCAAAAACAAGCGAGAGCCTAAACTCAACACCTCCCAAAACAAAGCAAATGCACATCTTGAGCCCCAGCCTTCGAAGGTACACAGGCCAGTGGAGGGGCAATCGCATGCACGGGAGGCCAGTGTCGGCACACCAAAGTCGGCCCAAACCCCAAGCGCGGTGGAAGCCTTTAGCCCTAGACTTTAGATACATGCCGAGCACCAAAGTTTAAAAGCACTCAGCCTAAATAGCAAGCCGACTGAAGAGTTGAAGGACTGTGAGACCTGGAATGTTAGCCCTAATGTTGTTCTTTTGGGAGCTAGAGTCCAACACTGGCTTGTTCTGTGGGGGGGGGGGTGTGGCGGATCATGGGGTTAATTCTGGACACGAAGCCTAAACCCTTTAAGCCCGAAGCCCTAAACCCTAAACCCTAAAACCCTAAACCCCAAAGCCCTAAAACCCTAAACCCTAAACCCCAAACCCTAACCCCAAAACCCCTAAACCCTAAACCCTAACCCTAAATCCCTCGACCCTAAACCCGATATTGAGGATTAGTTTTTTGTTGGGCTTGCGTAGCGATTGCTGTAGCCTACTGAACAAGGGCCCGAGACTCTGAGCATCGACGCGAAACACTGCACAGTCGATATTGAGACTAGGTTTAGGGTTTAGAATTCAGGGTTCAGGGTTTAGAATTCAGGGTTCAGGGTTTAGGGTTTAGGGTTCAGAATTCAGGGTTCAGGGTTTAGGGTCTAGGGTTTAGAACTCAGGGTTTAGGGTTTAAGGTTTAAGTCTCTTTGGCTGAACTGCGCTGCAATCTCAACATGCGAAATTTCCGAGGGTGCCTAGGCCGAATCCACATGCCGTCTGTGCCCCAAGAGCTCAGTGTGGCTCCCACGAATTAGTAGAGTCTACTCTGCAGGGGCACAAGAACGATGGCCGAAAGGCTGTGTCCAGGGCATCCTTAACTCGAAACTCTGAGCAAGCACCCCGCCCCGAACTTGAACTCCCAAATTCGTAAATCTAAAACCTACACCGCGAGCCCCCCAAACCCTAAACCCTAAACCCCAAACCCCAAACCCTAAACCCTAAACCCGAAACCCTAAACCCTAAACCCTAAACCCCCTACCCCACAAGCCTGCAGTGTAAACTGAGCACCGGCTTCCTACCAGGGGCATGTTCACATGGCCGGATGGGCCCGGTTCCCAAGAGGGTTTAGGGTGGATCTGGAGTGGATTTCAGGGTTTAGGGTTGAGGGTTTAGGGTGGATCTGGAGTGGATTTCAGGGTTTAGGGTTGAAGGTTTGGGATTCGTGTTAGGGTGTAGGGTTCAGGGGTTTAGGGTTAAGGGTTTGGGGTTCGTGTTAGGGTTTAGGGTTCAGGGTTCACACCCTTCTGTTGAACATCCAGCTATATAATTGTTTTACTCGGATGGTTATAGTGTTCTTGTTGTTGTAACTGCACATGGCTTGGTACGGGAGACAGTGTTGTGTTCCTTGCTGTTAAACTGATGCCATATCTGCTTCGTGGGGCTCTGCTGTTGTACTGTGGTGGTTGTGTGGTTTACTTAGCGGTGTTCCATTTCGCAAACGGAACTCCTGTCGAAGCATGGGACAGCGGACCCGGTTATGTATGTATAGGACAGTTTAGGAGTTTAGGGTTTGGTTTTGTTGAAGACCAGCAGCCACATTCGCAATTCATTCGCATCTTCGAGGCTCATGGGTGGGCCCTTGGGGTTTTCCGCAGGAAATGCAAGTTCCAACTCTAATTCGCATCTGAAACACGGACGGCACTTTGAACCTTCATGGAAGCCGCAGAAGGCTTCCAACTAGTCCTGAGTGAGCCCATAAAAGAGAAACAGCGGATTCTGGCTTGCTTAATACAGGGACCTTAACAGTTAGAATAGGGTTTTGGGCTCCCGTAAAGTATAATAAGGAACCCTAAGGAATAATATTGGTAATTCTCGAGGCGTCTATATTATGTCCGTACTTACGACCGTCCCTTGATGCCTGATTAACCCCTTACGACTCCCAGGGTCCGAACTAATTCCCCAGATGAAGAAACCTCCGGGGATCCTGTTCCAAAGCAGCCGCCTACAATCCTTATATAATCCTAAGCCACTAGATGCCCTAAACCTTACAAAAATTGAACCCTCATCCCTAAACCTCAAACCCACGGCCCATTGCAGCCAGTGTTTCAGCATCCTCGATCTCGAAATGGGGGTTTCCGAAAATAGGGGACCCTAATCTAGTACCCCAAATAGTAGGATCCTTATTCTAAGGACCCCCAAAGGAAGGTACCCCCTATTTTTCGAAACTCCCAAATGTTGATGACGTCACCGGGTCTTGCGCCGAGGCGCGTCTACGAGGGCGAGTGCGCCGGGTGTGTTTTCAGGGCGGACAGAAGCCCTAAACCCTAAACCCT